CGCTAGCCGGCAGTACTTGGGGCAAAGACAAAGAAACGTTGCTGGCAACATACAAGGCTATAGGCCGGCCGGTTTTGAACTACGCAGCGCCAGTGTGGTCGCCGGGGACTAGTAGGTCGCAGTGGACGAAGCTACAGACTGCACAGAACACCGCACTTAGGACAGCGACAGGATGCCTCCTGATGTCGCCCGAACACCATCTTCACGGCGAGGCGCAAATGCTCCCCGTAAAGGAGCACAACATAATGCTCTGCAAGCAGTTCCTGATCGGGAGCCACAGAAGTGGCCACCCAAACAGACAGCTGCTTGCAGAGGATCCCTCGCCTAGGCACGTCAGGAGGCATCTATATGAACTGACGGACGAAGTCCAGAGGTTCATCAAGCAACCTCTGGACCCGACAGCTTACCGACTGACCCTGTATGGCATTCACAGGGAGTCAGTCTCGAGTTATGCAGACTCTAGACCTGTGAATGCCATTCTAGGCATACCGCCCCCGGACACAGACGTGACGGAGCTTCATCTGCCTCGGGAGACAAGAACGACACTAGCACAACTTCGCTCCGGCTACTGCAGCAGGTTAAACTCCTACCTGAGTAGATTGAATGAGGATGTGCCAAATGAGTGTCCGGCATGCGGAGAGACCCCACATGACTCGAAACATCTCTTCGGTTGCCCGGAAAACCCGACAGCCCTAACGGCCTTGTCCTTGTGGACCAACCCCACAGAAGCTGCACGCTTCCTGGGGCTGCCGTTAGTGGAACTTGACGACAACGACTGAGATACCAACCGTCCTGAGCGGGGTTGTTGTAGCCGATACAACAACAACAACAACCAACCTGGCCGTTTTCAGCGAATATTGCATTGAATCATTTTCGTCCGGACTTCAAGTAGATTGCATCTACACAGATTTCTCCAAAGCTTTTGACACGGTGTCACATAGAATTCTCTTACGTAAATTGGGCTCTTTTGGTTTTCATTCGATTTTCCTTCAATGGTTGGAATCATATCTAAGTGAAAGGCGTTGTCTGGTTACAATTGGGGGCGAATTCTCTGCTCCTTTCATTGGCACTTCAGGGGTACCTCAAGGAAGTGTTCTAGGTCCTCTACTTTTCGTCCTATTTATAAATGATATAAGCAGTTGCTTTTCATTTGCTAATCACTTATTATACGCAGATGACTTGAAAATGTTTGCCGCAATAAGAAATTTAAACGATGTAGCTAGGCTTCAGGCCGATCTTACTGAACTTGCCTGTTGGTGTACTAATTCCTTTATATCTTTAAATATTAAAAAATGTTGTCAAGTCACGTACTCCAAATCTCGTGATCCTCTGCAATCGTCATACAATATCTCTAATAATGTCCTTCAATCTATGGATGAGATCAAAGACCTTGGAGTGATTTTTGACTCACATTTCTCTTTCTCAAGTCACATCAATTTTATTATCTCGAAGTCCTACTAGATTCTAGGTTTTGTGAGACGAAATAGTGCTAACTTTTCAGATCCTTACACAATTAAATTATTGTTTACTGCTTTTGTTCGGTCCAGGCTGGAATATGCTTCATTCATTTGGAGACCGTATCACCAATTTGCTATAGCAAGAATTGAACGGGTGCAAAAGGTGTTTCTGAAATTCGCTCTAAGATGTTTAAATTTCATGGACCCTATTCCATCCTATAATTCCCGCCTGCTTTAAATAAACTTAAAGTCACTTGAACGCAGGAGGTCGATACTATCGCTGTCTTTCGTTTTTAATTTAATTCAAGGGAACATTGATTGTGAGTTTCTGTTGCAACGCGTAAACTTTCTTATTCCGGCAAGAACTTTACGAAGCTCTTACCCTTTTAATCTTAAGATTTTCAAAACCAATTATGAATCCAATGCACCAATTGCACTGGCGCTTCGCGAATTTAATGAGATCTCGAATTCCATTTCGTTTGATTTTTCAAATACTAAGAATCCGTTGGCTCTTCTGTTGAATTCATCTTTTTAACTCTCATGCATTTAATAAACCAATGTAGCAATTTTTATTTTAGTTGTAATTTATCTTCGCACTAATTTGGAATGATTTGTATTAGCACTAAGTGAGTAGTCAGTAAGAACCATTGTGTTTTTTGACGAATTAAATAAAGAAATAAATAAATAAATAAATAAATAAAAATAAAAAACAGGTCAGACTGCCACTAGGTATTCACCTCGATGGCGTAACAATACCGACGGTGAATAACCCGAAAATCCTCGGAGTTACCTTCGACATTCTGCTCTCCTTCTCGGCGCATACAACCGCAATTGTCAACAAAGTACAGAGCCGCAACAATGTCCTCAAGGCGCTGGCCGGCAGCACTTGGGGCAAAGATAAAGAAACGTTGTTGGCAACATACAAGGCAATTGGCCGGCCGGTTCTAAAGTACGCAGCGCCCGTATGTTCGCCGGGGACTAGCAGGGTGCAGTGGATGAAGCTACAGACCTGCCAAAACACGGCATTATGAACTGCGACAGGATACCTCCTGATGACGCCTCAACACCACCTTCATGACGAGGCCCAGATGCTCCCAGTAAAGGAGCATAACATAATGCTCTGCAAGCAGTTCCTTGCTGGGAGCCACAGACGGACGTGGCCATCCCAGCGGACAACTGCTCGCGGAAGAGCCCTCGCCACGGCACGTCAGGAGGCATCTTTACGAACTGACAGGCGAAGTCCAGAGGTATATCAAACAACCTCTGGACCCGTCAACCTACCGACAGGCCCTGAACGGCATTCACAGGGAATCAGTCTCAAGTTATGTAGACTCCCGCCCTGTGAATGCCGTTCTAGGCACACAACCACCGGACGTGGACGGGACAGAACTGTGTCTGCCTCGGGAGACCCGCACTACAATAGCCCAACTTCGCTCTGGCTATTGCAGCAGGCTCAACAGCTACCTGAGCAGAATCAACGAGGATGTGCCCAACCAATGCCCGGCATGTGGAGAGTCGCCACATGACCCCCGGCACCTCTTCACATGCCCTGAGAACCCCACTCAGCTAACGCCCCTGTCCCTATGGACAGCCCCTTTGAAAGTAGCACACATCCTGGGCCTCCTCCTAGCTGAAATTGACGACAACGTTGATGGATGAACCGCCCCGAACGGGGCTTAGTATCCGCTACAACAACAATAGACGTAAACTCGCAATCCAACTTATAATGCCAATTATATGTTATTCTGAGGTAGTCTACAGCAGGTTAGATTCCCAATCAGCTCACAAAATAGATGTAGTATTTAACCAGATCACGCGCTATGTGTTTGGGCTATCAAAATATGAGCATATTTCCGCTTGGAGAGCGCGCCTACTTGGCTGCGAAATTTCTGAATATCTTAAAGCAAGAAATTGTGTATTCCTTTTTCGTCTCATGGAAAATAAGGCACCCAAATATCTATATGAAAAATTAACGTTCCCCAAATCCACTCGAGTAAAGGACTTGACTGTTCCTACCTACAATTATCTCAGCTCTGCACGGCTATTCTTTGTCAATGCTATCCGCATCTGGAACTCTATTCCATCCCATATTCGCAGTAGTTTAAACAAAAGCAACTCTAAAAATGTTCTGTATGCGTATTTCTGTTAGCTTCACTTCAGTCCCTGTGATGTGCTCTCTATGTACTTGTTTAATTAAGTCTTATTTTCAGTATATGTCCTGGAATTATAGAACTCACTTAAAAATACTACTCTGTTAATTATATTATGTTACTTTTATTTAGTCTTAAGTAATTTTTGCTGTTTTAGTTAAATGTAAGTACTGTTATGAATTTTTTGTTGCGCTACAAAAGATCTTGCTTTTGATCTTATTGTGCTAATGATTTTGTTAATAAATGAAATGAAAACTAAAATAAAATAATTTATGCAACCTCACATACGCGGTTTTGATTTATCTTGATACGCGGTTTTGCATTTTGCTGTTACGCGGTTTTGTACTTTAAACGACGATATGTATGTATACTTGAAAATAGATAATTGCGTCTCGGTCAAGCTGTTGTTAGAACTTTTCTTTCTGTGTGCAACTCAAACCTACCGCCATGCTTATTCATACCAAAATTAATCTCGCGGAACCCCGGTGACTTTTCTAAGGAACCCTGGGTTCCGCGGAACACACTTTAAGAAGCTCTGACCTAGTCAATTAAATACTTTCAAAAAAGCTTTGATTTTGTCACCAGAAAAGTGTGTGAATCACAAGAGGACGAGTTTCAGGGACTATTTAACTTTGAAGGAAAGAAAAGCAGCGGAAACTGAATATTTAAATCTTTTAGATTTCCCATGGAATAACTTTTTTCGGAACCATTCTATCCGACTCTGAAGAATTTTGGATAATTGCTTACGGAGTGAAAACCGTAACAGGCAATCAAATGTTTGGAAATATAAGTAAAGTAGCCTTCATATTTTAATCCTTGCCGCACACACATGCTTTTGTTGAGCGCGTTTTTTCCGTAATGAATTCAACAAAAACTAAGATTCGAAATAGGATGAGGTTGGAAAGCCTTAATTCAATAGTTCGAATAAAGGCTAATAGTTTCTGCTGCCAAACGTTTCCAATATCAAACAGTAGGTTATCAAGGTTGAGGAGCTCAATATATGACAACAACAGAAGTGTAAATAATTCAGACACTATATAGGTGATTTTGAAGAAATTGTGGAAATAGCTGATCTCGCCTTATTATAGGTTTTTATTTTATTTTTGGGGCCGAGCATTGAAAAGGGGATTGTGCGATTAATAAATCAATATGAGTTCTAATAAATTTAATAATTGCGCAGTCCTATTGCAAGATGTGTTGAAACACTTATTTTTAAATAGTATACGTTTTTTTAGAGAAAATCGTTTGTACATCACTATTACATAAGTGATTTGTGTTATTTATTATTACCTTCTGAAGGTATTATATTCGTTTTTTTTAAACTATATTATAACAAGATCTCATTTTTATAATAAAATATTTGTTAAATTGGTTTCATTAATTTTATTTAAAAAAAATTGGCGATTTTGAGCGATTTTTTCAGAAATTGCGCTTTTTTTTAAAACATTCTAGACATCCGGAACCCAGTCCCTGCGGAGCGGAAGCGCGCACTGCTTTCCTCTACACCACAGCAACCGCGAAACTATTGTATACAAAAAAATAGTAACCAGTCCGAGTGGCATTTTAAGAATAAGTATATGTTTGTATTAAGGCAAGCCATTTTGTGAATCCCGGGATTTCGAAATCCCCGGAATATTTGGGGATATTATTACCATTAATTAAAATATGCTAACGAAATAGTTTTGTAGTCTTGCTTGAGTGCCAATACTAGAAATAAAAATAAATTTGTGTTTTTAAGCAAAGATATATTAATGTATTTATTTTATATACGTTTAAAAAGCTAATTACAAACTGAATAAACTAAAAACTATGGAATTGAAATCCATTCATATTGCAGTCGCAGTCATTTTTACAAAAAGTAAAAATAAGAGTATTTATAAATATACACATATGTGTAGTAATATTAGTATGCCACAACATATGTATGTATACTTATGTATATACATATACATATGGGCATTCCCATGGTGGCGCACGTGACAGTAGTACGATTTCAATGTGATACAAAAAAGGAATACCATTTGTTTTCTTTAACTTTTTTGGGCCATTGTATAGCACATAATTAGCTCTATATTTAACCGAAAAATGAAATCAATCGAACTGCTTGGTCCTGAAATATAAGCATTTAAAGAGAGGGTCGTTACGTGACAAAAAATGGAAGTTGATTTTTTCTTTTCTTACAAAATCGCAAAACTCTGCGAATCGTGGATGGCTATTTTCATGAAACTTATTTTAATATGATTTGGAGCAATTCTAGTTGTTTTTAGAGTTTTTTGAATTAAGGCAAATTGTTTCAGTTCTCGTTTACAACCCCAAGTATATATTGTAAAAAGCAGACAAATCGGCCCGTAAATACGTTAGATATAAAACTTTTATTTTTTTGTCGTGGTGGACCTTCCGCTGGAAACACCAATATACAAGTTGGACGGAGTAGAAAAAATTATGTCATGTCTCTGATTCGCTTCAATTTTGTTTATGGGTTCTATACATGAAATAAGCTAACACGTCAAAGTTCGAATTTTTTCGTGATTCTGACCATTCATGTACTGCTTCAAATCGTTATCTCTCGGGCTCTACTCATTGAAGACTTCATCTTAACGTCGTTTTGAAGATAAAGAAACGGGCTTTCTATATGATGGTAATGATTGTCCTAAAGTTAACTTAGCTATTAACAGTTGAACTTTTTTAAGTTGATTTGCATAGTAAAGACCAGTAAATTTGGGATTTAAAATTACACCACCGTAATCCTTGATTAATTCTCTATAAAAAACACGTTCAAAAAATGGGAGTTTTTCAAGCACTCTTTTTAAAATATTTATTTTATGACGAGGTGGTTTATTTTGTGAGAGTCAACCAGATATAACAAGAGATATAACAATTTGAAGAAGTACATGATTATTTAGTCAGAATAACGAAAAAATTAAAAATTTGGCAGATCATATATCCGAAGAAAAAAGCAAAAATGTTATGCCAATCGAAAATGTGACACCAAATTTGGTGTCCGATATGAAAATAATGCCTCATATACAGTATCGGTCATATCTATAGCACGCCATTTCCAAGTGATATTGTGTGCCCCTTATGTTTATTTATTTTTAAGAATTTTCAATTAAAATTTAGTTCATTCTCAGACAAACCCCATATATACCCAAGTTCAACAATTTGTAGAAAACTACAAAAAAAGTGTAACAAATTTTCACCTAAATTTGAAACTTTTTTCCCGGAAGTCTTAGAATTTTTTTGAGTACACAGTTTTTTAGCCCCTGAAATTTTAGTCTGATAATGTGCAAATTTCAATTGGCTACGAATTACCGTTAATTTTTTAGAATTTTTTTGTCGCATTGGCTTCCATATAATGAATAAACTCAATTTATTTGTATATGGAAAAAGCCGCAACACCTTTGGCGAAAAAAATTCTAAAAAATCAACTAACTTTTATCAAGTTGAAACTTGCACATTAGCAGACTAAAATTGATTGGGCTATAAAACTGTGTATTCAGAAAAATTCAAACACTTCCGAGAAAAAAGTTTGAAATTTAGGTGAAAATTTGTTGCACTTTTTTGTAGTTTTCTACAAATTTTTAAACTTGGGTTTATATGGGTTTTGTTAGAGAAAGAACTGTATTTTAATTGAAAATTCCTAAAATAAATAAACATAAGTGCTATAGATATGACCGATACTGTATATGTTATATATATTATAACATAGAATAATAGTAGTGTTCGAATTTTAATATACATATTATTTCATTATTTGTAGGGTTGGATTTTATAATTCTTTTATTTCATTAGTGTTTGAATGTTGTTTTTTTTTAATTTGGTCGTAAGTTAAATTATATCCCGGGATCCCGAAGTCTTGATCCCGGGATTTCGGGACTCAAAAAAGAGTTAGGGACTCCCGAATCCCAGTACTAGATGCCTCATGGCGATTTCGTTTCTACAAAAAATGTTGCCTTCTCGTCGCCCTCGTCTTAGTGTTTTTGCGTAGAGGTTTGAATTTTTCGGTAGAAACGAAACCGGCATTAGTTTGTATGCATAGTGAAATAATATTATTTCACTATGTTTGTATGTATGTACTTCCGCCGATTTTTACGTATGCAATAATATCCGCATCAATATAATCAGTAATTGAAATTTCAATCCAATCACCAATTATATAGAATTGCTATAACCTTGCAATACAAGTTGAGACTCATGCCTCAAATGTACATATATCTCCAATAATGCACGCATGTATGTACGCACACCGTTTTTATTACTGCAGATAATGATCAATTTTGTTCCGTGAACCATGTTATAAGATTAGATACCTTTCTACAGCATACCGTAGTACCATTACTACAGCCGCCATTGGTAAGGGCCATATAAGGTCCCTGTAATCAGCGTGTGATACGTCCGGGCGTGAGCCAGGAGTAATGTCTTCCCAAGTAGTGTTAGGTGGTAACCAAACATTCGTGGACCAAAATGTTTTACCAATTCTTTCAAGAATATCCATTTCTCCTTCGAAATCGCAGTATTAAACACGCCACTTTAAAAAATTAAAGACAACATTAACGAAGATCTATGAATAGGAATGAAACGATACGAGTAAATAGAAGTGCAAACTATCGATGGTACTATCGATAGTTTTAATTTTTCATAACTATCCATGGTTTAGAAAAACTATCGATATTTTACATGGTTCCATTCCATGAACCAACGACTACATATCACCTAATCAGCCATCGTTGTACCCTGAAAATCTATTACAAATACAACGATTGCTGATTAGGTGATTTGTAGCCGTTGGTTCATGGAATGGAACCATGTAAAATATCGATGGAAGAAGTTGAGAATCCGAACAATGGAAAAATTACAACAAAAAAAATTTAGTTCGATACAGGTTTTTATAACAAATATAACGGTATAATTTCTTTGTGGCAGAAACCGCAACTAAGGTCGTTACGAAAGGTCAAAGTTCAAATGTAGCGCTTTTTTTCAAATCCATATATCTCGAAAACCATAGCACGGATTCTAAAATTTTGATGTCATTAAATAGGAAATTTGAGTGGCTTTAATTACATATAGAAGTGTTACATATAACTTCTTAAGGTATAGCAAAAATCCAATTTACGTAAAAAAAATTGCAAACAATTTTAAACAAACACATTGTTATTTAAAAAGTGCCGCCTTAATTACAGCTAAAAGTCTTATATATAAATAGTGCACAACTCAAGCTTTTGTTTGATGTACAACATGTTGTGTTTCATCGTCGCAAATCGGAGTATTTCAAAAAATAACCCTGGTCGGACCAATGCCAGCTACGCTTACCACAGTATTTTTGCGCAAAACGTTTTTCTGGATAGGCGGCCATCGGCCGCGCTTACGGATTATAACCCTTACTAAGTAGTATTCTCCTTTCTGTGTTGCCGAAGCAGAGGGTGCACCTTTTTGCACAGAACACCTTGTGCGTTGGCGGCTTTCGGCGGCACTTAGGGATTATAACACTTACTAAGCAGAATTCTGCTTTCTGTGTTGCCGAACAAGAGGGGCGCAACACCTTTTGCACAGAACACCTGCGTAGGCGGCCTTCGGCCGCGCTTAGGGATTATAACCCTTACTAAGCAAAAATCTGCTTTCTGTGTTGCCGAAGAATAGGGGCGCAACACCTTTTGCACAGAACACCTTCTGCGTTGGCGGCCTTCGGCCGCGCTTAGGGATTATAGCCCTTACTATGCAGAATTCTCCTTTCTGTGTTGACGAAGAAGAGGGGAGCAAAACCTTTTTGCACAGAACAACTTCTGCTTTGGCGGCCTTCGGCCGTGCTTAGGGATTATAACCCTCACTAAGTAGAACTCTCCTTTCTGTGTTGCCGAAGAAGAGGGGTGCAACACCTTTTTGCACAGAACACCTTCTGCGTTGGCGGCCTTCGGCCGCGCTTAGAGACTATAACCCTCACTAAGTAGAATTCTCCTTTCTGTGTTGTCGAATAAGAGGGGCGCAACACCTCTTGCACAGAACACCTTTGCGTTGGCGGCCTTCGGCCGCGCTTAGGGATTATAACCCTTACTAAGGATTATAACCCTTACTAAGAAAAAGGTTTTGCGCAAAAATACTGTGGATAGCGTAGCTGGCATTGGTCCGACCAGAGTTATTTTTTGAAATACTCCGATTTGCGAGGATTAAACACAACATGTTGTATATTAAACGAAAGCTTGATTTGTGCACTATTTATTAATAAGACTTTTAACTGTAATTAATGCGGTACTTTTTAAAGAAAAATGTGTTTGTTTAAAGTTTTTTGTAATTTTTTTTACATAAATTGGATTTTTGCTAAAACTTAAGAAGTTATATATAACGTTTACATATTTCCTATTTAATGACATCAATGACATTTTTAGAATCCGTGCGATGGTTTTCGGGATATTTGGATTTAAAAAGCGCTCCATTTGACCTTTGACCTTTCATAACTGCCTTAGTTGTTATTTCTGCCGCAAAAAAAGTATACTGTTGTATTTGTCTCAAAAACCTCTGTCAACACTCGTACCTATTTTTTTAGTTTTTGCAATGTTCGGATTCTTAACTTGTTGATTCTTCAGAGACTGCAAAAATTAAACCCACACATTTCTTATGCATTGCATCGCATTGCGTGGATTTATATTGTTTATTTCTGTGTAAGAACAAATGACATATATTTATTAAGGATACAGATTAATGTCACAGCAGCGGCTTTGAATCAACGAATGCCAATTCGAAAAGGAATCGTGGTTCACAAAGTTGCCACATGACAAAATTACAAGGTTCAAAAAATACTTAAGAGTTAGACACAGTGTTGCATTAAGGAATCGTTCAATGACAAACGCACGTCCGCTTGCCGGCATACTCCATCTACACCGGGATACAGGCGCTCCACAACGCCTCGACACCATTGCTTCCTTGGCACGTTGTCGGATCGTAGTCGTACTGGCACACCACGGCGATTAATAAAATTTTGGATGGCCACAATGCATGCGTCTGTGCTCAAATCGAAGGCAAGCTCCAGGTGAATAGCTCTCACCGTGAGACAGGTGAAGAGCGCCACCCAAGGCTTCTCCTGGCGGCGGCCGATGGTGACGTTAACAGTTCCAAAGTAGTCCAGGCCAGTGTAGCTAAATGGCCTGACGAACGGTGTCAGTCGATCTGCTGGCAGTGGACCTATGATTGGTGCAATAGGCGCTGCCTTAGTCAGGCGGCACACAAAGCAATTGGCAATGACGTCCCGCAGAGTTTACCGCAGATGAGGGATCCAGAAACGGCGGCGAATTTCCCATACGGTCGCTTCGAAATTTTTATGCTTTAGCTTGTGGTGGTGGTGAGCAATAATAAGCTTCGTCAAACTATGTTTAGATGGGAGAATTACAGGTCGCCTTGTATCTAAAGGCAGCCAACTTGCTGCGTCGATACGTCGCTTTACGCGCAAGACTCCTTAATAATCCAAATATGGCGTCAACTGAAACAGACAACTGCTGCGAGAAATGACGCGCCCACTTCTTGTTGTACGAGACGATAAAGAACGCGCTTTGCGGCATCAAGTTCTACTGATGTCAGGCCATGCTCGTTTAAGGTTGCGTGTTGGCGGCGACACTTGTTTACAAACCTTAATACCCAACCAATGGCTCTCACTAGTCTTCCGAATGAAAAAAAAAACGGTTACAATTTAAAAATTTTGGACTTACAGTGAGTAATGCATATTTCGGACGCAGTTCTTCCACTTCTGGCTGATTGTTATCGACGACAATTTGACTTAGCCATTTAGACTCTTCGGCTAGTAGAAAAGGTGGCCCACATAACCAACGCGAGGCGCAACAATTCTTGGATCTTCCATTGGCACGAGTAACCTCGTCTGCGACGTTCTCACCGGCTGGGATCCATCTCCAGTTTGATGGCGTAGTAGTGGCTAAGATTTCAGCCACCCGATGCGCCACAAATGGCTTGTAGCGTCGATGTTCACTCTTGATCCAATTCACAACAGTTTTTGAATCGGTCCATAGCATGCAGCTGTAGGCGCTCACAGAATGTTCTTCTCGTATAGTCTGAAGGAGACGTGTGCCAAGCACGGCTGCTTGGAGTTCCAGGCGCGGAACTGTGAGTGGCTTCAGTGGCGCACACTTTGCTTTGGAGCAAATAAAGGCGATTTCGACTTCACCAGTGGAATTGATGGTGCGCCATAGGCTACGGCGGCAAAGGCTTCCTCGCTGGCATCGACGAATACCTGAAGTTGACGTTGTGTTGGTGTGCCGTTCCGGAAGGAATCTCGGAATCTGCAATTCCACCATCGCCGGAATTTCTTGACGCCACCTTTCCCAGGAGCCAGATATGTCGTCAGGTAAAGGGCTGTCCCAGCTCGACTGTTGTCTCCAGACTTCGCGCATGATTAGCTTAGCGGAAATTGTTATGTGGCTCAAAAAGGGGGGGGGGGGGACATAATGATGCTGAGGAGTTCTCTTTTCGTTGGGCGTCTTTCACCAGACACAACTCTTTTGTCGATATTGTGGAAATTCAGCCTGAACACAAAGCTGTCTATTGATGGCTGCCAAAACAATCCTAGAACCTTTTCCATGGATAAGCTCGTTTTGTTGGCGATTGCAATCGTGGCTTCCACACCGCCCAACGCAGTAAGTGCATCGGGCGAATTCGAAGTAAAGTTGCGGAGTTCAAACCCAGCTCCTCGGTGAATGGCTCGTACTTGTTGAGATACAGTGATTACTTCCTCTACGTTCCTGAAGCTATCAACGAAGTCGTCGGCGTAGTGGTAGTCTAGGATTGCCTTGACAGCTCGATCGGCGTTATCAGAGTGTTCCATTGCGTTCAGAGTTTTGATGTATTGCGCAGCGCATGGCGAGAATGCTGCACCGAATGTCATCGCTATCATCTCATAGACATATGGCTCTCTTGTAGTATCACCATTGCGCCAAAGGAACCTTTGAGCGCATCTGTCATCTGGCCGAATCACAATCTGGTGGAACATCTCCTTGATGTCGCCACAAACGGCTACTGCTCCTTGGCGGAAATGAAATAGGATGGTTGGTAGTGCTCTATAATCCTGTGGTCCTTTCGGGAGTAGCGAACTGAGTGACACTCCATGTGTCTCTGCGGCGGCGTCGAAAACGAGGCGTAATTTGGCTGGCTTATTTGGATTAACCACGCCAAAGTGTGGCAAATATCACGTCTTCTTATTGAATGAAGCGGCTTCTTCGGGTCGCAATTTTCTTGCGTACTCTTTGGCAACATATGAGTTGATGATTTGCTTGTAGACTTTTGCAAAGCTGTCATCACGCTGCATTTTCTTTTCTATGCTTATCAATCGCTTTCGCGCCATTTCGTAGCTGTCGGGCATCTCAATATCGTCATACTTCCACAATAGGCCGGCTATATCGACCGTTTGTTCGGCGTGTTGTTGAATGCAAAATTGCCTTTGCGCGCAGGTCAGCCGCGCTTTCAACTGGCGGAAATGTCTTTACGCTGAAGCTCTCAGTTTCAAAGTATTCTGCAATCAGATCATGCATCGCTTGATCTGAAGCTGGCGTCGTAAACAAACATACTTGCGTGCTAGATGAGGTTTCCACATTTGGCCTAAACACGGTCCAACCAAG